GTTGATAAGTCTGTAATGGTCAATCGATGTCTTATTCAGCGATTCAAAAAGGAAGTCTTTAATGGCTGCTGAAATTCGCTTTTAGTCCACTAGCCGGTTCCCGATTTCCACGCACACGCCTCACACATGAGAGTGCACGTGCACGGACATCATTAATCTTGCTTGACCGATGATCAATGACCTCTCTTATTGACTACGGCGTACGAACATGCGAGCGTACGTGTGCGGTCCCGCGGGCGACTATCAGTGCGTACACGCGGTTCATCTACGAAAGCGGTTCTAACAAATATGATTTATACGCACTGTGAATCATAATCTTAATTAAAGAACTGATATATATAAGAGTATATGTGTGTGTGTATGTGTAAAGATTAACTTTCTTAGAATCACATTTATTGTCTTTTAAGATATTAATTGCATAACTTTAAGATAATGCAATTTTATAACGATAAGGACTAAATTAAAATTTATAACAAGACGTTGTCAATAATAATATACAGCAATCATTAATGCAACGAAAAAGAGAAAGCATTAAAGCAAAAAGTAATTATTTATATTTTAATATATTATATTTAATACATAAGTAGTTAGCAGTGAGTTATAGTTAAGTTAGTAGTAAAGATCAATTTATAGGTATGCCACGTTAGGCGTGACACAACACGTGCAGCTATTAGAATATGGCGAGAATTCTAATTGCGACAAATTTATCTCTCTCAATGAAACGCAATAGGGCAATAGGGCATTGTCTGCCGAGGCATGTAATTAGATCGGAAATATAATAACACGTGGAATAAACTCTTGATATCCGCCTACACAGCTACGTATAAAAGAGTACACGCGTAAAAGAGTGCACCCCAATAAATAATACACGAGCATATATATATATTAGGTGTTTTAGAAAATTTATATAACGATGGTAAAAGGGTATCAAATTTATCAAAAATTCTCGAATTTCAAATTCATAACATTAAATATTTTAATAAATAAGCGTCATAAAAAAATATTAATAGTTATATTAATATATTAAAATCCATTTGGAATTAAATAGAAAATGGAATTTTATTAACTACCTTTTTTTATGTTTTTGAAACATTAAATAAATTGAAGTTTTAATTTCGCTTTTAGCGAAGGAAAAATTGTTTCGAGATCTTGTAGAAAATGATGCTTTATCATCATTATTATAAGTGCTCTTGGACATTCGGTATAATTGCCCCGTAAAACGGTGTCACCGCCATTGGGGTCGTAGGGATGCGAGCTGTTCCACGAGTAGGCGGGGATTATTAATGATCACAAGCCGCCTTATCTTTTCCACTTCCTGTTCGAGATACATAATACCGTGGGCCGCCTCGCGCGCAAGTCGTTGCATCGCGTCGTAACATTGTGCATACGACTTTGGTAGATTCGCTCTCGTCTCTCATTGTGTGTGCCCCTCGCGTTCGCGTAACCGCAGTGCTTGCATACGCACCCGCGAATTTATCATTGCACGGAATCGTACCCGCGTAGCGAGAAAGATGACTTGAGAAAATGATTAGTTATTCCCGATCGAAAATTTTATTGCTATTGTCACGATTAAGAGTATCAAATGTAGAATGCCTCCGACGTCGCAAAATTATATGTGTGATTTTAATTTTAGAATACTTTTAATATTATACAATATTATTACATAACATAAATATAATTTCAACAGAAAATATTATTATTTAATGTATTATATTTGATATGCAAAAATGTTTTATTTAACTTTATTATACGTTATATGTAAGTTAAATGCCAAAACTTTTTTTCTATATGAAAGAATTCATGTGAAAAGAAAAGTATTATACAATACATAAAATGCTATAAATGTTTTATCACTTATTTATTATAATTTTTTCTTTAAAGAAAGAAAAATATAAGAAATAAAGGAATTGTCAGAAAAATACTACTTTGTATCTTGAATATCTTATTTTCTCTCACGTAAACTTGATTTAAAAGATGTCAGGAAAAGAATATAAGAGTATCACTTTTTTTTAGAAATAAGCGCCAGCTTCTTATTAGCGAAATTAAAGAACACGTAAAAGTGCAATCGGCAGCTTCTTACGCAACTTTCTAAGGATATCACGGGCCTTCCCTCGTGCCGAAAACGATTCAAGAATTCACATGTCGAACAAGAAATAAGTCGAAGCTCTCCCGTGCGAGCTTTCCAGGGGTAGATTCAGATTTCCGATATTATTTGCTTTATGCCGTACTGTACAGGCAGAAAAGATAGAGAGGGTATAAAGAACTGTGCAAATCCTTGGTAACATAGGGCAGGCGAACGCGAGACCGTCGTCCCCTGAAAATCGTTTCGCCTATAATAAGCCCAAACGATTGCTTCACGAAATTGCTTTTCTTCAAACAGAGGCGTTTGATGTCGCGTTTTCTTTTTGACGGATCGTAATTGCACGCGTATTAGAGCAGTGCGCTCTGAGCTGTCGAGTCTTGCTACGGGAAAGACCGAAAGATCTCTTTAAATCTTTAGCCGGCGTTTCGTATTTCGTATTCATGGAAAAATGGGCGACACAGAAAAGTTGCTCTGCAGAGCATAAACGATTATAAAATATGCAATAAAATATTATCATGGTATTAAATAGCATAATGTTAGCGCATAAAATACACGTACAAAATATTTTATAATTCAGTATCTTTATATTATCCGGAAATTATACAGATTAAGATTAATATATTTAAAAATTAATCATTATTAATTATTTATTCAACACTTAAAAAAAAAAGTAATATAGGATATATATCGAGATTTTCTTTCATGTACATCGCATTATTTCCAAAGTTCTTCTTAAAAAACACCGACAGAAAAGGATTAATTATGATAGAATTAATTTTCTATCATAATTAATCCTTTTCTGTCGGTGTTTTTTAAGAACTTTGGAAATAATGCGATGTACATGAAAGAAAATATATATATATATATATATATATTTTAACCCGTAAAAAATTTTTGAAAATATGAAATTTTTTTTTGTTTTTTAATTTCGCCAATGAGGAATCGGCGCCCATTTCTAAGGAGAGAAGAGTAATGTTTTTATATATTTTTTTCTAGACATTTCTTAAGTCAAATTAATGCAGGAGAAAATAAGATTTATAAATAAGAATAATCTGTGATATAAAATAGTATTTTTTTGACAATTTCTGTATTTCACATACTTTTTTTTTCTTGCTTTCGAGAAAAAATCTAAAAAATATTATAATGCAAATAAATGTTATAATGCATTTATAGCATTTTATGTATTGTACAGTACTTCTTCACATGGATTCTTACACTCAGAGAAAAAGAGTTTCGGTGTTAAATATAGCTTATATATAACATAATAGAATTTAATAAAACATTTTTGTATATCACCGACAAATAATGGCACTATCTCTTTTTTCTACTCACGTTTATGTGGAGTATGATTCTACAACGACTTACTATTTCTGCTTGCAGCTCCTATACATCCTGGACAGCCTATAGGACAGCCATCAGACACCGATAGATTTTCTACAGGAATATCTGGTTCAGGTTTCATCGACGGGTAAATCCTTGATTTTAGTATCTGAAATGAATTAGAAACTTTCTTTTATTTGCGTTACTCAATAAAATGTTAAATGTTTACATGATAATGTAAATTAATAAACTATCCTTGCAAATAATAACTGTATTTTTATCACAGAATTAGCTTTTAAATTATTTTTAATTTAATAATTATTGATGTAATATAGTAAAGCTAAGGAGTAATTCTTGAGATACCTACATTTTGTTTCAGATAAAATGTCTCTTTTCTTTCGGGAAAGTATTGTAAATTATTTACGTAAAACGTAATGAAGAAAATAACTAACGTTAACGACAGGTTTCAACTATGAAACTACGAAACTTCAATTTCTCACTCTTGCGCGAGATCTACATATATTTTATCATTTCATTTACTATTCATTCTATCAAAAAGTCTTGCTGATATTAATTACTCACCACTTGTTTGATTTTAATTCCGTTATTTTCCTGATACTCTCGATTAAAGAAGGGGGACTTCGAGACTTCTCTGATCGACGCGCGCTAACGAACTAATTTTGAATATTTGCTTTTTCTTGAAACTCGTAAAAAATCATGTTTGTGGCGACATCTATCGAGAAATCAAATATGCAACCAACGTCAGTTTACAAATGGTTGACACCGGGTGTGGTGTCAACTGACATTAACTCTTATACGTTAAACCAAATGTTTTGATAATTACTTTCTGAATTATGAAGCTACTCTTGTACCTAGCATTGTTACAAAGTACGTGTATTTTTGTACGAGCCGTAAATAACGCCAGAAACATGACGAAGACGAGGTAATACGCCGTGCAACTTTATCGTCGCGAGGTTATATACCATAAGAATATTTATTTTTCTAGATAACTCAGTCTTTCAAAACTTGAGCCCGATACCATTGATAAACAGTTCGAAAGCGATCGATTTTTTGTTGTTGTTTTATTGTTACAATAAATACTTCAATGATTCTTAAAATTTAACTTTTTTTGTAAATTTTCTAAGGTTATGTTTTGAAATAAACATGATTATTTTGTTTCGAATCATCACATAAAAATATCACGAATAATTATTGTTATCTCAGGTATTAACATATTCTTTCTTGAATTTATTAAAAACTAGATTTTTATACAGAATCTGAGTTAAAAAGTTATAGCAAAAATATAATATTTGTTATCGCATATTTGTACTAATGAATAAATAATATTATAATTGTTTGTTTCTTTGTTATGATAGTATGGGAAATGGAGACATGTTAGGCATCTCAGGGAATGGAATGTCTACACCTCACATCTCTCATTTAGCATCCGTAAATCCGTTCAGTATACTTTTACCGAACCCACAGCCAACCAGCTCACAATCCAGCACCATGGATCTTAATACAATCAGCGGCCTTACTAATGGCAATATACAATTCCCTCCTAATATGAATTTTGATGAAATATCAAGTTCAATTTCAATGTAAATTTTCTAAGGTTATGTTTTGAAATAAACATGATTATTTTGTTTCGAATCATCACATAAAAATATCACGAATAATTATTGTTATCTCAGGTATTAACATATTCTTTCTTGAATTTATTAAAAACTAGATTTTTATACAGAATCTGAGTTAAAAAGTTATAGCAAAAATATAATATTTGTTATCGCATATTTGTACTAATGAATAAATAATATTATAATTGTTTGTTTCTTTGTTATGATAGTATGGGAAATGGAGACATGTTAGGCATCTCAGGGAATGGAATGTCTACACCTCACATCTCTCATTTAGCATCCGTAAATCCGTTCAGTATACTTTTACCGAACCCACAGCCAACCAGCTCACAATCCAGCACCATGGATCTTAATACAATCAGCGGCCTTACTAATGGCAATATACAATTCCCTCCTAATATGAATTTTGATGAAATATCAAGTTCAATTTCAAACAGAAAGGACAATCATAAAGGAACTTGTGAGGTTTGTACTTAAGTATAAAAATTAATATATTTAACTTGAGATATTTGGAATATTAAAAGAAGAGTTACAAGACAATTCAACTTTTACAGGTATACATGGGAAAAACTTGTGCGCAGTTTGTAGGAAACCAATCAGTTTATATTATATATCCCATGACACAGAAAATGCTCGAAGAGAAATTAATGAAGGCTTTTCAAGTTATCAATTTCTCAAAGTATGTTGTTAGTTGTTATATTAAGCATTAGAATACATTAAAATAAAACTTGTGAAACATACAAGATAATATTAATATCACATGTTAAATGAGGGAAGAAAAACTGAAATATTTTTAACTGTTTTATCATACAGTGAGCTCTCGTCAAATTGCGAAGGATATGCGAAACCGTCTCTTTGCTATTCCGCTTTTCCAATATGTCGCGATGCGACAACTAATACTCAGAAACCAAAAAACACAGAAGCGAGTACACAGCTTTTTAACCTCCTGAACTCCAGGCAAGATGATCTCTTTGATGACGGAGATCGCGAGGACGCGGACGATTTCGCAAGACTGCGCGGTATCCACAAAAAACGTAGTCCCACATTAAAACCGGTTTTTGACTTGGTGCCTAACGAAAACGGGAAATCGAGCAACAAAAAGATAATTAATCAGAGTTACGGGGACGCGCAGCATCGAGCATCTAGCAGAAACGAGATCAATCGTAAATTACGAAGGATATGTCGGGAGGAATGCGAAATGTTGGAAAATGAATTATGTAGAAAGGAATACGCGATAGCAAAGAGGCATCCGTTAATCGGGCATCAAGTGCCTTTGGTTGAATGTTCTGATTTACCGCTGGATGGAACGACGGAAGCTCGCGATTGTTTAACACTTGGGTTATCCGCGGCAAACAATGTGCAAGAAAGTATGCATATATTTGCATAAATGATTTTGATATTGAATACAAATGTATCGCGATTAATACTTTTTAATGTATTTCTTGCAGATGACTACTGCTATTGGGGTAGTGGAAAATCCTATCGGGGAACTGTAAAAACGAGCGTTAGTGGAAGGCCATGTTTACGATGGGCTCATCACTTTAATCTCCCAATATCTGATTTTCCCGAATTAGCTGGACGTCATTCTTACTGTCGGAATCCTGGTGGAAAAGAACATCAACCATGGTGTTATGTCGATGTCAATAATAGGATGCAAAAGGAGTTTTGCAATATATCTAAATGTGGTAAGTGCTTAAAATATATAAATATATGATAAATATATGTCTGTTAGGTATCATATGTGAGCTTAATATGGATAATGTATGTTTTGTTATTTCTAGTTGAGAATTTATGGATTTATGCGGTCGTTGGTTTTGTGCTAACAGGGGGTTTTGTTATTATATTAATATGTTATTGCTGCTGCTACAGAAGTAGAAAATCCAGAAGACAAATGAATCATTTACCATCAAATAAAGTAAGTATATTGATATATTTTTATATTATAATTTATAACAATGGTGCTTAAAATAATATCCTCTGGTTTTACTAGATATTAACCGGTATCCAATGTGATAAAAATATATATGATGGAAGGAGGAGCACGACACAGCCCATGGAAATGAGTTCTCTCTTGGCAGGACCTGGTAACATAACACCAGGCACTGGCACTTTAAGCAGTGGCAGTAGTAGAACGTCTAATAATAGGATACGACAATTTACTACAAATAATATTGTGCTTTTGCAAGAGTTGGGCGAAGGTGCTTTTGGTAAGAATAAAAAACTTTATTAATTTTTATCATTTAAATTTGATAAACAATATATTTTAAATTAATATTAAATATTTTTTTCTCTCTAGGAAAAGTTTACAAGGGTGAATTGCAAACCGGAAATAAATGCGAGCCACCTATTTACGTAGCAGTAAAAACATTAAAGGAGAATGCAAGTCCGAAAACTCAAAGCGATTTTAAAAGAGAAGTCGAACTCATGACAGATTTACAACATCAAAATATTATTTGTTTGCTTGGTGTAATATTAAAAGGAGAACCAATGTGTATGCTCTTTGAGTACATGACTCAAGGAGATCTACACGAATATCTAATTTGCCATTCCCCGAGATCGGATGTTCCATTGAACAACAGTAATGGAAAAATTCTAGAGCAACCAGAGTTTTTGCAAATTGCTTTACAAATTGCCTCTGGTAGATATTGATTTATTCTACTACACTTTACTCTATTTACACAATCAAATTCTCATAATCTTGTTATATCTTTTGATAATTACTCATTTCCCTTAGGCATGGAATATTTGGCTAGTCATCACTATGTCCATCGCGATTTGGCAGCAAGAAATTGTTTAGTGGGCGATGATTTAACAGTCAAAATCTCAGATTTTGGTTTATCACGAGATATATATAGCAGCGACTATTATAGGGTACAATCCAAGAGTCTACTACCTGTTCGATGGATGCCACCTGAGTCAATTCTTTATGGTAAATTCACTACCGAATCAGATGTATGGAGTTTCGGAGTTGTACTCTGGGAAATCTACAGCTATGGTTTGCAGGTAAAGTAACCATCTCGAATGAAAAGCAATATATTCCAATTTCAAATTTTTTTCTTATAATTATATATTTTAATTTTCTCTTTAGCCATATTACGGATATAACAATCAGGAAGTAATAGACATGATTCGTTCACGGCAACTGTTGCCGTGTCCGGAAGACTGTCCGACAATGATATATAGTCTAATGATTGAGTGTTGGCATGAGGTAGCGAATCGCAGGCCGCAGTTTCCAGAGATTCATCATCGGTTACACAATTGGTATATAAATCGAACCTACTTGAGCGATTTTTGCAACGAATCTATTACCAGTTACTCAGGCAGTAGCCATAAGAGCACAAACAAGACCAATTCAACACAATTGTCAGCGCCCATATACAAGAGCGATCAGAAAACAAGCACTGAGCCAAAGGTCATCTGCAATCTCAATGATCACAGTAATGCGATAAAAATGTTACCGGCAGTGAATACTTTTCCGAATTCTAACTGCGTCGAACAGAGACTGAATTGTGGTTTCAATACGGAACACGGAACACCAATAAAAACGTCTAATTACCAGAATCCTACTACGAATGTTAATCTAAATGACGTCTATGATGATAAACAGTGTTGTTCGCCCAAGTTGAGCGGCGCGAAGAAAGTTTTACCTGTAGTAATACCTCAGGCAGGTGTACCTAAACCAAATGCGCTCAACAATGGCCCAAGACCGTTACAAAATGGTGCGCAATTGGTCGTCAGGTTACCCGACCCCAGTAAAGTCACAACTGAAACGAGAGTATCGAAATGAACGACTTTGCAATGAATTTGTATTTTTTCGTATATTTGTCGTAATAAATTGTCAGTAATGATAAAACACTATCGAATCTTCATGCCACTATCGGATACTTCTTTAGATAGTATTAAACGAACAGACTAAATACAAGAAACCGCTGCAATACTAATCCCTGCCATATGTATGTACATTTATTTATTTTTACAAATATATACGTATTTTATATTGTCGCGTATTTCGGGTGACATGTATATATTCACATGACACTATTGGAGACTCCTTTTGGATAGTATCAAACGAAAGAAGAATACAAAAGCTAGCTACAAGACTTAATCATTGTCATTTACATGCATTTATTTATTGTTACAAACATGCACGTATTTTATACTGCCGTTTATCTTAATAATGTGTTGATAATGTCTCACACACATATAAAATAGTTTAATACTTACATAGGCAGGACATAGAATCGGATATCGTGCTTTAACATGATTATTCCCCATTTATGACTATAGTCGTGCAACAATAGAATAAAATTTTTAAGATTTGTCCTCGTTTATTTTTACGAAAAGATATTCATTGAAACATTATACTAGAGTGAGAATATATGTATAATTTATACGTTTATTCATAAGTTATATATAAGAAAAACGAAGAGAGAGAGAGAGAGAGAGAAAAAAAGATAATTCTATTTCAGAAAAAGAGAAATAAACTTGCAGAACACAATATCAACGGATATCGATATCTACATCAAAACGAATGTTTAATTATGCATGCTCTGTCCAAAGAGTATAATATTGTATGGAATATTGTTATGCTCTATATAAGGCATATCTTATGAATCATGTTTTCATATAATCTTTACAGAATTGTTCAAAAAGATGCGAGCACGCGCAATCGGATATATATTGTAATAAGCGGAAATGAGAGACGACGCGTGAAAAAGAAAAAATGTGCGAGTGTGTGTTTTGTGAATGTGTGTTTTAAGATGTTTTTTAAAAGGCAATTTTTATAATCGTCATATCGTCGTATGCCAAAATCCGGATAGTGAATATTGACTGTTAACAAAAATTATTCAATTTGTATATTATATAATAACTGCATATGTGTATCTTTTTTACCTAGAAAATCTTTGGGGTCTTGCTTTGTAATCAAAAATTAATTTATTACTTGTAGAGCGCATAGCGCTGATATGTAATGGAAAACGCAAAAATGAATTAATTTATTATAGTGTTCATGGCTTCCCTATGTCACGCGCGCATTGCGAATTCATAAAGTTTTACTATAAGCATAATTTTACATCGCTAATGAGAGATAATTTACTAAGATAAATTTTTCAGACGTTTGCTATTTCTTCAGCCATATATCCTTAATATTCCTTGACCTCGAAAACACAAATAACTGAGATTTAATATCTAACTAACATTCAACGATGTTAAACGTACAATGATAAAAATATCGGCGTTAATGCATAAATCATATGTTATTTGTGTATATAGGACGTAGAATATACATCTTTAAAAAAAATGCTAAATTATTGCCACTCGATTCGACACTATTTGACGATAAACTTCGCAAAATTAATGTCTATTTTAAACTGAGATAATGAATAACAACGCAGAGCGATTAGGGAAAACGTAGAATTAAAGTATCCGAAGGAAGACTGTATTATAACTTTTTATAATTTTGTATTAATGTGAAAAAATATAAAAAGCGTATTCCGTTTGTTGGAAAAAAAATAAAGGGGACTGGATTTATCGTTCGGCAGTTTTTACCTCCAACGTTCGTTAACCAGACGGACAATGATCGGAGAATGCGCGAAAGTGCTATTTAATTAAAGTTAAATAAGACTTCTAGGACTGACGAACCTCCGAATCGAGAAATTTGTATCGATTGTAATCCTAATCGCCTCGAAGGTTTGCCATAGAAATTTAGATCTAACAATAAGTTAATTTATGTCGAATAAAAATTTCAGTGAAAGATTATATACATTTATACCTTTAAGACCTTTATATATTCAGTCAAATATAATATACAATTCATGTTTTTCGTATATTGCAATTGGTCACTCCCTCCCTCCTATTATAATGAAATATATCGATATATTGAATCATTATGATAAATAACTAATGAACTAATAAAATCGAATACAATTTTTTTAGAATAAAAAGAGATAAACGTTTTTCTCAACTTACTTTCATACATAATTTAATTTTTTTATTTTTGTTTTACGCTAATTAGATCATATTTTCAATTTATAAATTACATTACATAATATTAAATGTATGATCAATGTTTAATTATTTGCATGTATCGTATGTATATTTTGAGATCTAATTATGACAATATTTTATCTAAAATCCCGTGGTAAATAATTTTTACTTTTTTTACTAAGGTAGATTTTTACGTAAAAGATAATTTGTAATAAAAGATAATATCTGTAAGTCTATAAAGTTGCATAAAAAATAATATCTGTCATGTATAATTTGTTCACACACACACATGTACCTTCCTGCATTATAATACATATATTGTCCTTTTGACTGCTTTTACCTTTGCATTAGTTTCACTGTATGATAACATATCAATGTGCCATCAAGGCGTCATGGAAAAAAATACAAATGCATTCTGTAGATCATGTGTGATAGCTATTAAAATTGATTAACTGCAAATGACGTAAGCAAAATGTACTGTAAGATATCATAGATTCACGATCTACGCTAAGGTCGTATATACGACCTAATATATCTAGATAGTATATCTCTACTGTAAATCTCTTATAATAATATGCAATATTCACTTTCCTAAGTAAATGGAAAATACTGTAATTAAAGTATGAATAATCGATGAATATTGCATCAGTATTAACCATAATCATTTTCTCAGCTAGAAAATCTCAGATAGAGAAATTAATGCTAATAACAGAAATAAGTGTTAATCCAGGAAATTTCAGAAAGAGATGTTATCTAAAGTAAACACACATATCAAACATTTTTATTTTCTCATTTGTCTCTTATTCTGCTAACTTAAGCAAACGCGATCAGGTATACGATAATAATTTCAGAGTTACTATATTACGCAAGAAAATAACGTAAGTCATTATTAGTCGTTATAAGTCGTTGAAGTGCAGGCAAAACGTCTTTGTGAGACGTCTAATTAACATCGAATGTTATTATCGTCTAAAATAATGAACGGCGTAATTTGGAACAAGATGCAGAAGATTTTCGTGCCAATTTCTAGTATACCGGCGTATGCCAAGATGCAACAAGAACGTTTCAAACAAAATCGAGCATTAGAAAATCACAATTTTCAATTGCAGAATTTGACCTTAACATCTTTTCAGGTATGTTTTTACACAGATATCTAATAGCTGTTCTTTGATATTCTGTGAAATCATGAAATATCTATATTTCTCATAAAAATTAACTCATTTTAATATGTATTCATTAATAATAATATGCTAATTTATATAGCATAGCATTCTAGAAATTTATATATTACGAAAAAAATTTGAGAATGTATTCAAAGTTAAGTATATATTTTATATATTATAAAATTAAATAATTAATTAATTAAATATATAAAAAATATATAGCTTTGAATATTCAAATTTTTTTCGTATATAATATATAAATATAAACTATAAATTAGAAACTAGAATGCTATGCTACAAATTAGTACCTTATTATTAATTAATGAATATTAAAATAAGTTAATTATCATTTAAAAGTTTATTTCCTGTGATTTTAATATCACGTAATAGTTAATTTTGTGCATCTTAAATTTTAGTGTAAAGAAATAAGATAGAAAAAATTTATAAGGACAGACAGATAGATAATTAAGAGTATTATGTATGAATCAATTGATGAAAAAAATATCATACATTTAATTCTTAGAAATGTGGTAATTCAAATAACGTGAAAAATACATTTTTTTATAATTGGAAAATAGACAATTAAATCTTTATTACTTACAACATAATAATGCAATAGTTTGTTAGATAATTATATAATGAGATATAAACTAAGAGAGAGAGAGAGAGAGAGAAAAAGAAAAAAGAGACGATGAAGAATTGAATGAATAATGATTTTCTCGGTTATGCATTTTAGGAACCAAATTTCTTTGAATTCTACGACAAGGATACGAAAGTTACAGGACTCTGCGGTGAATTATGGACTCTGCTCTCTGAATCATTAAACTTTACGTAAGATTACACTGATTAAATTGTATGAAAGCGGATTAATACAATATATATTAATACAGCAAATATATAATATATATGAATAAAAAAAAGCTAATGATAAACCATGGTTAAAAAATATTTCGTATGTCTAGATTACAACCAATAAGATCAAATATAAATAGCCTGGGTGCGTTAGAGGAAAACAATACTTATCAACATGGATTATTAGGCCTACTTTTTCACAATGAAACTATTGCTATACCAAAAGTCGAAACGTACAGTAAACGACTTGTGGCTACTGATTTTACAATCCCTTTATGGATAAACAGGTATATCTAGCTGCTTTGTTTAATGATGACAAGTCTTGTAAAGTATTAAATAAAGAAAAAATAATTATGAGTTCCTAAAGAAAGATATTTTAATGTCATGTAAAATTTATCGTTGATAGTTCGATAAAAGTTTAATAAAAATCTACTTATAATAAATGGCTGTAATAATTCTAAAACAATTTGACAGCTATCGAACGTATATTCGTCATGAGGAAATGCAATATAATGACAGCACATGGATGGCAAAAGTGTTCTCTTGGAAAGTATGGTGCATTATACTGATTATGCATGTAATACTAAGCATCTGTGGTTTTTGGTCACAAATCATTCTCGCACGGATTGAGGATAAATGCAAAAACACAAACTTCGGCGAACATTTCTTTTATAACTTTGGAATGTTTTGCAATCAAAGTATGAATGAACAGTTTGAATGTTTCATTCCTGATCTCGCTTTTCGACAATTCTATACACTGTAATGAAATTATATAGCAATACAAATATTACATGATGCCCTACTTATTAAAATTGTGTAATATGTTTTTATGTATATTTTTCGTGAAGAGAAAGAGACATAAACAGAAATTTGTAATTCTCTCAAGCTGATTTAGAAATCGCGTGATTTAAAAATCAGATTCTAAGTTTTATCAATGCATAGAAAACACGTAAAAAATTAACATGTAATATTTATTATAAAGAAAATTTTTTTATGGAAGTGATATGATATTTAATTCTTACGTTAATAATGAAAAATAATGTGAATTATATTATAATAGGTTACATTCCCGAGGTTCTTGATGGAAGATCAAAGATATTAGAAATATCTCTAAGTCTCTTTTGTTCTATACTATACATGGCATTTAGTGCTTTATTATTTATTTACATGACAAAAAGTATTATTGTACTGCCATTCGATAATCTTCTATCTTTGGTAACTCAAACTGCATACAGCGTTGTTACTCTGGAGGGTTCTATAGCAGATATCGCATTTAAAGTATTAATAAATATATGCTTAATACTAATTATATGTATAATATGCTAATAAACGTAATTTATTAAATTCCAAATATTTTATTTTTTGTATTAAATAAATTTCTTTGTTCATAATATGGTTTAAAGAGTCATTTTTAAAAAGTACTTTATACATTTGTATTGTATATATGCTGAATGTTTATTATTCAAAATTTATAGGTGAGCCCTAATGAAGAATTTATAAAAGTGAGAACAGCAAAACGCTTCGTCCTTGCATCAACAGTCGATGAAATGTTTGAAATGGTGTGTTTCCCGAGAAAAAAAAAATATGCTGCATTCCAAGGTGAAGACGAGTACAAAACAAGAAAAATGTTATGCAATCTAACTCCGATTGGACAACACTACTTGCATATGTGGATAGCTTCCGGCATCGTAAAGAATTTTAAGTACAAAAGAACCATCGATCTCGGGTAAAAAACAGCAGTTTAAATGATTAAAATGATATACTATGTTATAATCTGTTATGTAAAAAGATAACTTCTATTAATAGAATACTTAAATTAATGGAAGTTGGACTCTGGGATGCGCAAGTAGATCGTTGGTTAGAAAAGAAATTTCAGGATAATAATAATGTTAAGACAACGGATGCAGTTGGAATGGATCAAGTTGTTTTAGTAAATGCAGTGATGTGTTGTGGAGCAATAATAGCTTTTATTATTCTCATAATCGAAAAAATCGTATATGCTTATAAACTCAAGAAATCGTGACTATTTTTACTTACACCATTGCAAATAGATAAAAAATTTATTTATGAGCAAGATTTTAACTCACACTCAGAAACTACTATATCTATATTGCGAATGCTCGTATTTCTAAGTCATAATTTCTCAGTCATAATGCTGTAAAAATTGAAATTGTAATAATTAAAAATTCTATTAATCAAAAAAATATCTATAAATTATTTTTTTATATAAATATATAAATTATATCAAAAATATTAATTAGCCCGATTGTGATTTTATGGCTGTACCATAAAATATTTAATATAAGAATGCGGAAGTTCAGTCCCAGCGGAGGTCATAGCCCCAGTTTTAATCCGCATATTATTATTACATCCTGATATCGTAATATTTTTACCGTTTTTATTAGAAGCAGAGTTTTATTATTCTCTTTATATTATTTATTTAAATTTCTTTTTATCCTCTTGTAGGATAATTATATTTGCTAATATTTGTAAATAAAAAATCGTACAACTTAATTTTAAGTAAAGATAATATTGATGAGAAATACAAAAAAAAATATAATCTATAAATTATAAATCATATAAGAATACATCCAGGGAGAAAATTTTGCCATTAGCATACACTTTTATAGTTTTTTTTTATTCAAAATATATCTATGTTGTGTGTGATAAGTCAATGATTCTATTATTCATTATATATGTACCCGAGAAAAAATCCACATATATAATC